CTCCTCCTCTTTGGAAAAATCCGTGGAATTTCGAGGAATCCATGGAATTTTGGGGTTGGTTTGGTTGGGTTTTTTTTTTTTTTTTTTTTTGGGAAGCGGAATTCCCAAATCGAAGCCATTTTCCAGAGCAATAAGGGCGGGAAAAGCCGGGAATTCCCGAGGGAAAAGGCTCCGAGTTCCCGCTCCGGGGTGGGAAAAATCCCGGTGGGATCGGGGAAAATCGGGAATGCGGGAATTGGGGATGGAGTTTGGGAATGAGGGGGGAGATTTGGGATGGGGGGGGGAGATTTTGGGAGATCAAATCCTAAATTTTGGGAGAATAAATCCCAGATTTTGGGGGATTAAATCCCAAATTTTGGGTGATTAAATCCCAAATTTTTGGGGGATCAAATCCCAGATTTTGGGGGATTAAATCCCAAATTTTGGAAGATGAAATCCCAGATTTTGGGAGAACAAATCCCAGATTTTGGGAGATGAAATCCCAGATTTTGGAAGATGAAATCCCAGATTTTGGGTGATTAAATCCCAAATTTTTGGGGGATCAAATCCCAGATTTTGGGGGATTAAATCCCAAATTTTTGGGGGATCAAATCCCAGATTTTGGGGGATCAAATCCCAAATTTCGGGAGATGAAATCCCAGATTTTGGAAGATGAAATCCCAGATTTTGGGAGATCAAATCCCAGATTTTGGGGGATTAAATCCCAAATTTTGGGAGATCAAATCCCAGATTTTGGGGGATTAAATCCCAAATTTTTGGGGGATCAAATCCCAAATTTTGGAAGATGAAATCCCAGATTTTGGGAGAACAAATCCCAGATTTTGGGAGATGAAATCCCAGATTTTGGGTGATTAAATCCCAAATTTTTGGGGGATCAAATCCCAGATTTTGGGGGATTAAATCCCAGATTTTGGGAGAACAAATCCCAAATTTTGGGAGATGAAATCCCAGATTTTTTGGGATTGGAAGATCCAGATTTGGGATTGGGGATGGAGTTTGGGAATGTGGATCCCAATCCCCGGCCTGGAATATCCCAGAGGCAATTCCCGGGAAAAGGGAGCCCTGGGAAAATTGGGAATTCCGGGAAATCCAGGCCCCCCAAAACTCCGGGAGGCTCCGGCTCCTCTTCCTCATCCCACGGGATTTTCCCGCTCTGCTCATCCCAAAAAATAAAACCCCGCTGGATTTCCCGGGAATTCTTTTGATCCCGGAGAATTCCCGGGAAAAAAAGAAAAAAAAAAAGCCCCAAATCCTGGGAATTTTCATCCCTTTCCCCCCCCCCCCAAAAAAAAAAAACCCCAAAAAAACAAA